TGTGTGTGTGTGTGTGTGTGTGTGTGTGTGAGGTGTCGTTCTGGCCCGTCCGTCTAATCCCAATCTCACACACACACACACACACACACACACACACACAGGTCCTGAGCTGCTCTGATAACACTCTTCCCAATCACAGCGCTGTATTCGCATGTACCAAACAATGTATTGTTGGCTATTGCTACAAATATACCCCAGCGACTTAACACTGCTTTTGTGCTGCAGGGTCACATATATTCATAAAAAGCATAAGAACATGAATGCATTCAAACTCATTCACTTCCATAATGTGCCGTATTTCAGAGTGAAGCGAGGTTTTTAATGAAGAGCTCATGCTTGTGTTCTGTCGCAGGTGCCGTCGGACTCCGGTACCGGACTGTTTGCCGAGCCGCAGATCGCCATGTTCTGCGGGAAACCCAACATGCACATCAACGTTCAGACCGGGAAATGGGAACCCGATCCGTCCGGAAGCAAGAGCTGCATCGGGACAAAAGAGGGAATCCTGCAGTACTGCCAGGAGGTGAAGACAGCGTTCCTGTCCTTTATTTATGACTGCAATACAAGGCCAGAGATCATGTGTTAAAGATAATATGCGTCATCAGAGCCACTTTGACCCAGAAACGCATCCGAGTTTATGAACTGAAGCACTTGAGATGCTCTTTGCTCATTAATGACATAATCATTCAGATATTGTGCCATCATATCTTGGACTCATTTATTCAAGCATTAAATAATTAACACACCAGAAATAGGTGAAGACAAAATAATCAGGCATACAAAAAAATAATAGATAACAAAACACAAAAAACATTTTTTTTTTGCTTAATGTCATGTTTCTATGTTTTAATAAAGTCAAAAATGTAAATTTTTTGAAATGCAAAAGTTGGCCTTGAAACAAAATATTTACAGTATTTATTATAAATTTAAGTTTGCATATGTGTTTTATGTTTTGTATTATATTTGCATGCATGCAAATGATGCATCAGGTTTTTATGGCTCATATAGTATGATATAGTGAGAATATGAAGGAAAACAGCTCAGTTTTATTAATATGCAGTTTGGTTCAGATCCTGATATTTATATGATGAAATTCAGATGCTTGTAAATCAATCAATCAATGTTTTGCATTTAGTTTTGCATTGCATTTACACAAATAACTACTTCTGACTGGTCCGTCTCTGATGATTGTGCAAATGTAGTTTGCAATCTGTGATAAAAAAAAACACTTTAAAGTAGTGCTGTCAAACAATTAATCGCGATTAATCGCATCCAAAATAAAAGTTTTTGTTTACATAATATATGTGTGTACTGTGTATATTTATTAGGTATATATAAATACAAACACATGCATGAATATATTTAAGAAAAATATGTTATGTTTATATATTAAATATATTTATATAGAATATAATAATATAAATATATAAATGTAAATATTTTCAAAATATATACTGTATGTCTGTGTATTTATATATACATAATACATACACACAGTACACAAACACATATATGTGAATATATGAATGTATATGAATATGAATGTATTAATGACTGTTTGCTTAAAGCTTTCAATTGTTGAGGCTGATCACACATTAATGAATTTTGCAAATGCACAATATCACTCTATAATAGGTTCCGTCTCAGATTAACTGAAGCAGCTCTGACCCAAGATGCAATATGATGACAACATCCTGATTCCCTGGTGAAACACACAATGACTCAGAAACAAAGGCACGTCTGATGCTGAGATCCAGAGCACTGACCGTGTGTGTGTGTGTGTGTGTGTGTGAATGGAGTGCGTGTTATAGCATAAAGCAGTAATTGTTCGTCTGTAGGTGGTGGGCGGAGCTCTGCACACTCTTCCGATTGTGACATCACAAACAGATCTGCTCTCTCGTCCAATCAGATCACAGACGGTAACATCAGTCCACGCAGATAATCATTTCTTTATAATCATCTCCAAATGTAAACTCTCCTATCGGCCAGATTTAACCTGCATTAATACATTACAAACATTAATGTTTTGTAAACAGTGGACTTGAAATGTACGCGATCAAGACTCACGGCTGATGAACTGAGCGTCAGGGATTAAAGTGAGGATCCGCAGAAGAAAGAAAGTCACGCCAGTTTGGAGAAACTTGATAGGCGAAGAATAATTTAATACAGAATGATCATTTATTGGTGCACTACCCCTTTAAACACGGTAAAATGTTTAATATTTATGAATAAAAATAAATAAACACACAGGGGTGAAATATGACAGAAGATCTGCAGAGATTCAGTACAGATGAATGCGAGGCGTTATTTATTTTATTTTATTTTATTTTTTTTAAGTTAAGACAATCTTAACTATTTTCTTACTTCTTGTTAGTAAAACAAAATGTATTCATGTAATTATTTACTTACTGATTTATAGATCTATTCTTGTTTTGTTTATGTCAATAAAGCTCACTTGAATTGAATTGAACTGAACATGAAGCCAAGATAGATAAAAGAGATAGAGAGAGAGAGAGCGAAAGAGAGAGAGAGCGAACTAACTGTGGGCTGAACTAATGAGAGCGAGGAGGGACGCTTTTGTCTTTTTAGCATTTCTGTTTCAAGATTATGTGTAGAAAACAGAGGGTTTGTTGTGCTGAAGAACGACAGGACAGAGAGAGAGAGTGACAGAGAGAGAGAGAGAGAGAGAGAGAGAGAGAGAGAGAGAAAAAGTGTC